GGGTCGGGGGGGGGGCCGGGGGGGGGGGTGTCGGTACAGGGGACAACATGAAGTGCTTCGGGGTCCCCGCGGCGCTTTTCCCTCGGTGTTTGGGATTTCCACCGGCGGGGGAGCTCGCGTACGGCCGCGGCGCAAAAGGCGGCAGAGGCGGTGGTGACGACGGTCGCTCGCTCGGTGCCTCGGTGGTTATTCTCCCGGGACGGCAATCGAAATGGAAAAGCGTCGATAGGGCGACGATGGCGGCGGTTGGCGGCGGCGGGGCGAGGGGGGGGGGGTCGAGCGAGGGTCGCGGCCGCGTTAAATCCGATAAAATTAAATGGCTAGGAGTGGGACCCTAGTCTTGGCACACCGATCTATCGATCCATCCTGTTACGCTTTAATGTTGCATCGGAGCGATGGGAGTCTACGGGGGCGGTTATCCTCGTTGCACAGCACGTGTCCACCGCGTCGCTCGAATCTCCTCGCAACCGGAGCTAGCTACCGGCGGCGCCTCGACCCCGATTGTTCAATGCGAGATTCATGTCGTTGATTCATCCTGGCCTCCATTTCCTGAAAATATTCCTTCAGTCGCTTAATACCCTTCCGGATAATTGACGATGGTGCAGGAGCTCGAATATTCCTGGCGAAGGTGCAGCTACATTTTATTAGAATGATCAACGAGTCATTGGGTGCAAGAAAACTCATTCGTCGTAGAAATGTCTAAATATAGATTTGTTAGCTTGATTGAGGCGTTGAGACGAATCTGTGAAAAAAGGACATTTCGTGTTGTTGCGGGTTTAAGGAGCTCGAAGTGGTATGGAGCGCACTATGTCCTATTATCATAATATTAAATTACGTATGAATATTGGTTTATCGTATCGTCGCACCGTTGAAATATCGAATTGCTGATTATTTGTGCAATTTTTGTTTTTTGTTTTTCTTTGTAAGTTGATTATTGCTTTTAATAAACAAGGGAGTTTGAAATGTTGTAACGTTAAATTATTGGATTAATTTACTTAGCTTTGAATGAGCGTGTAATGAGTAGATAAAATTGTAATTTGTCTCGATTTATAAAAGAATAAAACAAAGAGAAATTTAATTACTTTAAAGATTATAATTATATCGAAGTATTAATGTTATAAAGTGAAATTGTTATTGGTTAGAGAAGCATTGGCAACGTAAAGATAATTTTCTCTGTATATTTGATTGTACGTAGTTGTGAAATTTTTAAACGAATTTGTATAAATAATGTCGATTTATTACATAAGACAAGTTTACACTGCTACATGTACTCGTTATATAATTTACCAATATATTGGCCAAATATTATTTAAGAGTGAAAATTGTAATTCAATGCTTTGTAGTGGGAAAAGCACAAGTAAATAAAGCAGAAATATTAAAGAAATTGGGAAGCGAATAGTCGTGTGTATTAAAGTTTATTTGCTTTTTTGTCAAATATATAAATTGTAGGTGGTCATATGTATGTGATTTATTATTATTATTATTATTGTTTTTTTTTTTATTATAATAATGCAAATGCGTGTGTTGGTGTTATTTTTATCATAAATCTCCCTTAACATTGTTTCCTGACAAACTAAGTTCTTAAGTAAAATTGATTATGTTAGAAGCAGCAGAAAAAAAACGTAATTTAGAGCTTTTACACGAAGACAGTAAGATTTTAAACAATTATAAGTAACGAATAATAGACAATATTTTAGTAAATTTTGAAAATTATTAAGTTGAAAAGCATTAGCAAGTGATTGTCTTATTGTATAGTTTAGTTTGTATAACAGAAATTTTACAAACATTAACAGGGTTTTCAGATTTATGATATAACAGTAAAATTTAATATATATATATATATATATATATATAATATATTTTATCTATACGAGTTTATTAGAATAAAGTAAAAAACGAATGTATTTTGTGTAAGTGATAATTAATAATCGAGAAACTTAAGGTTTCAGCCAAATTTCAAATAGGCATTGGAAAATGTATATTCTTACTTAATGTCTTTGGATAATTTTGTTAAAGGGTTGAGCCGGGAACTTCATACTTATTCTAACAGGAATAATATTATTATTCAACTTTATATATCATTCGCATTGTCCTTCTTTTCCAATATTCTGAGTTATAAATTAATCTTTTTAATTTTTCCCTTCCTTTATCGAAATAATATTCTCATCGACTAATTATTAGATAAGTCCGAAATCTTTTACTTCGCTTACTTTTCAACGGTAATTTCCTAAATTTATTGAGAATAATAATTGATGGTGAAAGAAATTTCTATAACTTCGCTTCTTGATTTTACCGGATATCGATAACAAAACAAACAGGACAAAAACATTATTATTATAAAAAATATTATGTTAATTTATTTTATATAAGGTTCATTGTTGCGAGTAGTTGTCATTTGTATAACTTCTTAATCCTCAATTTTTGTCAATTTGCAGTTTTAGTGTTTGAAAAGATAAAAAGTCTTTTAATGCTCTCGCCAGTCGGTAAAATAGGAGTTGACCGACAATACTATACCGACTGACGCGCTAAGCGAGAATCTCGGCAGTCGATAAGATAATTATTCTCACATTCCTTTTATCCTACGTAAATACTTGAATAATTATTTTGCAATACCTCGAGTATAAGCCATTGACTTATAAAATCAATAGTAATGAGTTTCGTTTATTTAAAAATGTTTTGCATTATTTCACATATTATCCTAGCAGGTAATACGCTAAAATTCCAAAATCTCTTTCCAAAATATTCATTGTACGTGGCATTTGTTTGCAATTGCAGTAATAAGAACATTGGCATTTTCATTAAAATATACAATTGAATTTAAAGATTCTCGGAGTCATCGTTAAAATATAAATTTAAGTGCTTAAACAATAATTCTTATCTCGTAATAATGCATATAAATGCGTTATCATTAACAAAATATGTAACATTACTGATACCTTCGAGTCCGTATACATTTATGAAAGAGAATCATATTTTATTATTCTGTTAAGCTTGTAGGGCAAGTAAATAGTATTATTAATACGTTCTCTAATGTTGCAATTATTGAATAAAAAAAAAAATTATAACATTCTTTCCTTATGCGTAATTTTTGCTTTTCATTTACATGCCATTTGTAGGAGAATATAGGCGTACTATTTGCATAATTATTATAGAATTATTATAGAATATGTATTATAGACGTATTATAGAATTGCATTTATTAATAAAGTCGAAATGTGTGATTAATGTTAAAAGTCCTTTAAACTATTAACTAGTTAATGTCGATAATTTCGTTTGCCATCGTTTCTTTCACACTTTCATCAATTATCATTAAATATAATCAAATACATTTACTGGTACAGGATATTCGTGCATTATTCTTCTTTGATTTTGTTTTTTATTCTCAATTTCGAAATAATACAGTGTATAATTAAAGATATTATCGTGAATATCGTTTATTTAACGTTATTAGGATATTGGAATGCTGGCTGGCCTGAAATAATAATTTAAGCCGAGCGAATACGAAAATTACAATCGATACAGTCACATGTCGACGAAATTATTAATCATAAGTATTTCATCGTTTCCTATTCATTCGCCTGTATTATTAAAAGATAAAGGAAATAATGAGCCTCGCCGTGGCAGAGTGAATACACTTTTGGAGAAAATGACACCTTGCGGGCAAATATTGTTTCAGTGCGACAAGCGCATAGTGCACACGTTAATATTTTTTTTTATAATCACATACAGACAATTTAAAGTTGAAGTATGAAGTTTTTCCGAGTGAATGACACACGTATGGCTGAGTAAATATCACGTATTTTAAAGAAATTCATAACACGAATATATTAAAAATATCAGGTACATTGAACTAGCTTTAGTAGGCCTTTTATAAGAGAATACGTGAAACGAATAGAACGAGTCATAAAATAGTTGAATACAATCTTTGAAATAGTTATTAAGCAACCAAACGTTTACAAATAGTCATTCGCGTGATAATTTTACTTATAAAATATGGTTTAGAAAATATTTGCACTATCTATGTACATATTAAGATATCGTAATAAACTTCATTCGTTTAACGATAAAAATCCGGCTATATTTGATTGTCGTCTACTCAAAAATACTACAAGCATGTAGTAATTCGAGTACTAATGGGAGAAAGGGGGGGGGAGTGCTGCAATCTAATTAATAATTCTATCGCATAAGCCTATAAGGGATTCGCGTGCACTTTGGTGGCTCTTAAGTCGATAATATTTTGTTACAATCATTGTCCACTGATGTGCAGCGCGCCGCTGAGTTTTGTAAATTTCTTGCCAATGCCCAACCAAATCATCATCTCGGTCCATTCACTGCCCCGACGTTGAATTTTCAAACGGACAATCGGAGCTTCGCGCCAACACACACAGAGTCGAAAAACAATAATCTTTTTTATCACATTGGCCGCGCGATAAAAGCATCCGCGTACGTTTTTATCGCTCCGTATAATTCATCCAGCATTTCTTCGCAGGCATTTCTAATCGCTACGATCTGCGCTCGTAATTACGTCGCACGCTTAACTGTTGGATTATCATTGGGCGAGAGCGCGTACGTGCGATAACGCAAGTGTATAATATC